CCAGGTCTGACCGGCATCCTCCCCCACCATCGGAGCCAACTCACCACCAGGTAGTGATCAGTTGACAGCTCCGCCCCTCTCTTCACCCGAGTGTCCAAGACATGTGGCCGCAGATCAGATGAGACGATGACAAAGTCGATCATCGAACTGCGGCCTAGGGTGTCCTGGTGCCAAGAGCACATATGGACACCCTTATGCCTGAACAAGGTGTTCGTTATTGACAATCCATGACGAGCACAGAAGTCCAACAACAGAACACCACTCTGGTTCAGATCAGGGGGGCCGTTCCTCCCAACCACACCCCTCCAGGTCTCACTGTCATTGCCCACATGAGCATTGAAGTCCCCCAGCAGAACAAGGGAGTCCCCAGAAGGTGCACTTTCCAGTACCCCCTCTAAGGACTCCAGAAAGGGTGGATAATCTGAACTGCCGTTTGGTGCATAAGCACAAACGACAGTCAGAACCCGTCCCCCCACACGTAGGCGGAGAGAGGCCACCCTCTCATTCACCGGGGTGAACCCCAATACACAGGCACCAAGTTGGGGGGCAATTAGTACGCCCACACCTGCTCGGCGCCTCTCACCAGGGGCAACTCCAGAGTGGAAGAGTGTCCAGCCCCTCTCAAGGAAACTGGTTCCAGAGCCCGAGCCATGCGTAGAGGTGAGTCCGACTATTTCTAGCCGGTACCTCTCAGCCTCACACACCAGCTCAGGCTCCTTCCCCACCAGTGAGGTGACATTCCACGTCCCAATAGCCAGCTTCTGTAGCCGAGGATCAGACCGCCAGGGTCCCCGCCCTCGGCCACCACCCATCCCACATTGCACCCGACCCCTTTGGCCCCTCCCACTGGTGGTGAGCCCATGGGAAGGGGGACCCACGTCTCCTCTTCGGGCTGTGCCCGGCCGAGCTCCATGGGTAAAAGCCCAGCCACCAGGCGCTCGCCCACGTGCCCCACCTCCAGGCCTGGCTCCAGAGTGGGGCCCCGGTGACCCACGTCCGGGCAAGGGAACACTAGGTCCATTTGTGTTTTCCATCATAGGGGTATGTTTGGGCTGCACTTTGTCTGGTCCCTCACCTAGGACCTGTCTGCCATGGGTGACCCTACTATGGGCATAAAGCCCCTGACAGCATAGCTCCTAGGATCATTGGGACACTCAAACCCCTCCACCACGGTAAGGTGGCAGCCCAGGGAGGGGCTGTGAATCAGTGTTCTACTTTTAAATCAATCTATAATAATTTTGTTGTTTTATTAATCCCAATTATTTTGTAAAATGCACTTGTTTTGAGTGTATTTCTCTCCACTCCCTGCCCCCCCACCCCCCGATCCTGGATATAGACACTAATAGATCGTTGCTATACTTTGTTCTCTTGTTGACATATTGGATTGTTTGAGGCACCGACCTGTAGAGTGTTGAACATTAATTAACATCTGCATCAGACACCGTATGGTTATTGATTTTTACAAGCTGTGCCTGTAAAAAATCTCTCACTAGTACGAGCGTCGGTGGTTCGATGTGCCCTTTTTTTCCCACTTGAGCACCTGCCCCCCAAAATGTCTGTGCACGTCACCGGCAGAGGGACAAAATGTAAAAACTGCACACTTACAAAAATATTCAGATTAATTAAACTGTGCATGTTTGTTTTTTGCACCTTTCCCTCATACCTCATGCACGTGGAACTGAGCAAACATAAAACTTCACTCCTGACACACCTCCATTTAAAAATGCAAACATGTCAGCCGTGACTTAAAGCTGCTGAAATCAGAACTTTTAGCTGCAAACTGCATCCAGTAAGACTGAACCAGTCTCCCAG